CTAATGCCTTCTCCATGGGTAAATCGATCACGTCGGTGTACAAGTATTTCAGGAAAGCTTTGTAGACAATGTAGGAAAACTGATCATGCTCGATGACACTGTCGAAACAGAAGAACAAAAATGAGTAAAACTTGAAAAATTTTTAATATAAATAATGCAGATCTTTTCTTAAATGATTACCTTTGGTTGTTTTCTGCCCAATCATGTTGAAACATGGTTCTGAAGTATGAAGAGCGAATTTTCAGAATAGCCTTGTGCACGTGGATACATTGTCCCTCCACTTGTATCTTCAGATCACTTGTAGACTATCATAAAAGAAAACAAAAGTCATTAGAGACAAATGTGTACAATATTAGCTTAACACATAAAATATTTGTCACATTTATCAATTAGAATCCAGCATAAAATGTATTATACAGTTTGATTTATCAATCAAATAGCTCATTCTCAATTTTAGGTTTTTTTTCGTTAGAAAGAAGTTTCTTGAAATTTTCTTTTAAAAATACTCGAGCATTATACTTAAAATAAGATTTAATAAAAAATGATAAATCTTAACTTCAATAAGTGAAAATATTAGTATATATATATATATACTGGATACAAAGTACAATAAAAAATTGTAAAAGATAACTCTCACACAAATTCGAAAACTTTATGTGATCCACTCGGGTTTTAATGAAACTTTGAGTATGTTAAAGATTCATTAAAACAGTCTTAAGAAATTTTTGAACTCTTCTTTCAACTTTAACATCCTATATCTTTAAAACAAAGTCATTTCGAATATATTATATGACAAAATTTTCAGTATCCATTCTGTATATGTATTGTTAATAACTATATACATATAAATAAATTAGATTATTTGTTTCAGTTTTTCTCTTATCAATATCGTACATTCATTTCATTGAACATTTAAAAATGTGAGAAGGTGCGAAACAAATAGATACAACAATGAACAAGTTACATACGGGATCATCGAATGCAGATCCTAGACATTGCAATATATTCGGCTCTTCGTTCGCGTACAGGATCAGTGGTTTATGCATAACGCTCGGTGATCCGTAACACGCAAGCGCGTCATGTACGTTGGAGAACGGAGTGGAGGTTGGGATAGTGATGCTCTGACCACGACAATGACCCCACATGTAGACACGTCCTCCCTCGCCGACGGCGACGCTTATGTGATTGTAGTGCATAGCAGCGATGTCAGATACCCTCCCCATTTCGTGCTCGACCTAATAGTATAATTATTGATGACGTTGTTCTTCTTTTTTTCTTTCTTTTTTATTCTCTATTTTCTTTATGACGATATGAGTATACCATGACTGGTTTGCAGGAATTCGTCTTGTTGCCGATTCCCAACTGGCCATAACTGTTTCCGCCCCAGACATAAAGCTTCCCTTCATCTGTGAGCGCCAACGTATGAGCATATCCACAAACTACTTTGACTGAAACAATACCGATTGCTCAGCGACCCCATTTTGCATTCTTTTCTTCTTTTACTTCTTTAATAAATCGAGACTTACCTATCACAATGCCTCTCAACGAACCGACTTGCCATGGTGACGTCTGATTTGCATAGTTACCTATTCCCAATTGGCCGACGCCGTTATTGCCAAAACCGTACACCTCACCATTTTCAATGACCACCATGGTAGAAGTCTGGCCACATGAGATGCAGACAACTTTCTTCCCACCTAAGACGGAGTTCACTTGCCTAGGTGTGACTTGATTTGTGCTGATACTGCTACCCAGTTGTCCACAATTATTTTGTCCCCAAGCATACACCTAAATCAAATCAACCAATTCAGTTTGTAATAACAAAAGATTATCGTCATAGTCATCTCGATACTTTACCTCACCATCTTCGGTCAGAGCGATAGAATGGTGACTCCCACACGCAATGTCGACAATACGCTTCATGCCTAAACCTTCAAGAATAGGCATGGTCACTAGAATAGGTTTCGTGATAACCTGATTTGATGCTCCAATTCCCAATTCGCCATAACCATTGTGACCCCAGGCATACACCTATCAAAGATCTTGCTATCATTGATTCAAATGCATCACTTGATTCGTTGATTTCATAAAATCTTTAGCAAAAAAAATTCTTTAGAATTGTTATATGCATCAATAATAAACAATTAAGAGGAAAAGTTGTAATATTTTTATACAAATATGAAAATTTATTAACTATTTATCTTTAGCTTTACAAAATTAGAGTGAATCTTAGCGCTTAACAAATTTAATGAAAATAATCATTAATAAAAAAAAAAGAGTATTCTGAAGAAAATGAATCAGAATTATATATATTCATGGCCAATGATTTGCCCCTTTTATAATAAAGAAAATTAGAGGCCGATTCTGTAACTCTTAACGACACTCGTTGATGTCATTGCGCAGCTTTTTTATTCTACATAATATTTGCGCAACGAAATCAATGACTATCGTTAAGAGTTACAGAATCAAAAAGATTCCTTAATAAAGAAAAGATGTTTA